GCGTCCGACTCCTGCTCTTGTGTGAGTCCGACTCCTGCTCTCGTGTGATTGCGATTGGTCGAGGGAGGCATCACGTCGTACCCCTTTAATCAGGTTTTGACACGTCGCTGTACCAGACAGAGGCCAGACGAGAAGACTGATCCCATCGACGCTTCTATCGATCCCACTGAATCTATTGATCTTGACAAATACTTCAAAGACAGGGAGGCTGAGGACCCAGCGGTCCAGGCTGCATCCCGCAAAAGGTCCCTTCAGGACGATCAAGATTGGTGTCAACGCTGGGGAGTACATCTCGGTCAGCTCCACAGGGCGGCATCAGATGTGACGACGGCTGTGTCGGATGTAGTCATGGGCGACGACCGTAGGGTCAAGCGACGGGCACAGGCGACGGCATTGGAGGCAAAACGAGAGGCATGTGAGAAATCTATGGCCTCGTTCAGCGAGGCGTGCAAGGCGGATGATGTACCCCACTATTTCGGCAAGCTCGGAGATGCCCTGAGCGCCCTGGCCTCCCTCCAGTCCGAGAATATGATTGAGCTAAAGCAGGAAATCACAGAGGTCAAGGATGATATTGGTTCGCTCAGGGGCTGCTCTTGGGGCTGCTCTTGGGGCTGCTCCTGGGGCAGCTCTTGGCTCTTTCTTTGGGCGTCTCGGGGGCCTCTTGGGCTGTCTTCAGGCCATCGTGGTGGCCGTGGAGCGAGCTTTGGGCGATTCGGAGCCACCGTCGACGGTCCTGCGGGTTTCTTTGGGCCCTAGGTAATTTAGTCGCGTCCGCGGCCCGTTCGCGACCTTCCGCCGCTGGCGCTTCCGCCTGCGGCTGTAAAAAAAAGAAGTTTCTTTGGGCCCTATTGGCCCGTTTTGAGGCTCCATTTTTTCCCAAGCAGTCACGTGAGAGCGCGCGTCAACGCGCGACGAGCCCCAGCAGCGCGTGACAGCGCCTAGTACTCGGGGCCGTGGGCCTCTCAAACATAGCCAATGTTCATTACACGCCGGTCGTTGAAAGTAGGTATTTTTGGATTCCTTGATCCGAATCTACTTCAAGCGCCTTCCTACTTCGAGAATCGACATGCTTTTGTTGTGTTTTGTTAATTTTTCTGGGGGGACCTGGACCCAATCTACTAAATCCGCCTTCCTACTTCATGATTCTACCGACTTCTTCCGACCGACGTGTACGTGGGGACTCTTGGGGACCTGAGAACACAATACTTTGTGCTTCGGAGGGCGGAGGCGGCTACTCATGATGCTGAGGTTGAGGCTGGCGGTACTGACGGTAATCATGCTGCTGCTGATGATGATGATGACGACGACGACGATGACGATGACCATGGCGATGACGGTGATGGCGAGGATGCACTGCCGCACCGGGCAGTTCGTGGTTGGCCCGCGAGGGCAGCGCGTGATGTGGGCCATGGTGAACGTGCTGCTCCTGAACGAGGCCAGGGCCAAGGGCTTTGGCATGTATCGGACCATGTGCCGGCGGGCGGGTCACGCGGTTCAGGGCCCGACGGCGGGCTTCGGCAAATCCTGGAGAGCGAGGACCGTGTGCGGATTTTGGTGGGCCAGCTGGCGAACGTGGGGCGCGACGTGCCATCGACCGCGATGCACTGGTCTTATGAGTCCAAGAAATTGCAGTGTACCGTTAAGCACCTGTCCTGGCACCCGCCCTGGGTTGACGTCTCTCTTGCGGACGGCGCTGAGCCTGTGGGCGGGCGGTTCCTGTGCGAGATGGACATGCCTGCGGGGAACGGGCGGGCCCAGCGCAGGCGGCCGCTCGTGGCTCGTGCCGGATGTCGTCGGTCTCGGCCGGCACCCGTCGATCGGTGGACGCAGAACCCGTTCTAGAATGCCGCGTATGACATTCAGCGCAAGGGGGGAGGTCCAGGGGCGCGGGCGGCGGGAGACCGCGCCCTGTGGTATTGGGTCGGCGACGGGCGAGAGGAGCGCTTCCGTTTCGCGCGGGACAACCCAGACCTGGTGGCGTACATGAATGCCTTGCGAGTGGAGTTGAACATGCGGGTGGTGATGTCCGCAGTGCTGCCACACTCAGACCAGTTCAAGTACATGGCGATGGCCAGGGCGGAGTGCGGCGCGGGCGGAAATCTGCACTACCACGGGTTCAGCGTGGGGCGGCCCAGGCCTGAGGTTGCGCGGGTGCGTGTCGACGTGGGCGGAGAGGGTGACGTGCTCCCTCTTCCAAAGAGTCGCAGAGTGCGAATATTTGCTCGGTCGCAACTCTGGTAGCAGACTGTTTTCAGGCGGCTTCATGCTCCGGACTCGCGCGTCTGATCATGTCCTGTCGACTGGTGTGTCTTTCAGCCCCGTAGCTTACCTACCAGCTCGGTAGAAGAAGAAAAGACCAACGTCGCCTCTGAAAAGTAACAGAGTGCGAGTAGTTTTTCGGTCGCAGCTCTGGTAGCAGGCAGATGTCAGGCGTCTGCGTACCTGAAACTATAACTTCTGATTACTTTCGGTCGAATGGTGTGCATTTCGCCTCGCCGGAGTGGTGTGTAGCTCGAGCTATCTCCCAAAAACCATCAGCCGGATCCCAAGATATCCCGCCTCGTTGACTTTTTGTAATCATATCCACCGATCGACCTGGTATCAAGAGGGCGAGTGGGAAGAATATCTAACGTGTGGGCAAACGAAAATTCGAGTTCAATCGACTTGTTGAATTTCGAAAGAATAATTTGCAACCGAGGCCTCGTCAGGAAGCTTCCGCCGCGATTTTTCGAGCCAACTAGCCCGCCGGCGCTGTGGCAGTACCCTCGAGTTTAGCCGCTTTGCTTATGGGGAAGCTCTATGAGTCACTTCCGTCGAGATTTTTCGAGCCAACTATCGGCTTCGGTGCCCGCTGTGGTCTGGGTGTCGCTTGCTTCGTGCCTACTCGCCTCGCCGCTGGCCAGCCGCGCCGTTGTCGTTCTGGCTGCGCCCCGGGCCCGCCGCTCCTCCGCTTGGCGTGGCTCTGCTCCTTCTCGCCCTGGCCTGCTGCGCCGTTGCGTATCGCCGGTCTCTCTCTCTCTCTCTCTCTCTCTCTCTCTCCTCTCTCTCTCTCTCTCTCTCTCTCTCTCTCTCTCTCTCTCTCTCCCTCTCTCTCTTCCGCGCCCGCGCCTCCTTGGTCCTCCCGGTCTCGGCGCTCCCCGCCGTTGCTGACGTTCGGGGTGCTGTCCCTTCGGCAACGGGGCGAGACTCTGCTTTGCTGCCTCTGCCCCCCCTACCGCCGCTTTCCGCGGGCGGCCCGCTCCCGCTTCTGCCGTGTGCCGCTCAGGCGCCTCGCGCGCCTGCAGGTCTTGGCGCGTCGGCCCATCCTTGGACCGTGCCTTGGTTCGCTGGGTCGGGGCTCTGCTACGTTCGGTATCTCCATGTCCAGCTGCCGGTCAGTGCTGCCCCCCCTCGGCTTCAGTTGTCGTCAGGTCAGCGCAGCTCAGCGCCGTCGCTGGTTCATTCTTGCGGCGCCCCCTCCCGCCGCAGTCGGCAGCTCCCTTCGGGCCTTTTTGCCGTCCACCTCCCCGCGCGCGCCGCGTGGGCCTTCTGGTTTCGGCGCGCTGGCTCAACCTGGACTGTGCCTTGGTTCGCTGGGTCGGGATCTGCTTGGTCGTATTTTCTACCGCCAGCTGCGTCGTAGCGCTGCTTCCCCCCAGCTTCAGCTCAACGCAGCCTAGCGCTGCTCTGCGCCGGCGCTGCCCCCCCCTCGGCGCCCCCCCTGCAGCTGGCAGCTGTGAGTGGCCCGGCTTCTTCTCTTCCTGTCGCGCTGGAGCTTCGCCTCCTCTCTCCGTGTATTGCGGCTTTAATTTGCATGCAGCGTGTCCCCTGTTGCCAATCCGCCGGAGCAGTCTCCCTCTGCCCAGCTGCCGACGCAACAAAAAGTGTGTGTGTGTGTGTGTGTGTGTGTGTGCGCGGGCGGGTGCGTGCGCGCCCGCGCCGGCGGCTCCGTCCGTGCGCCCCCCCTCCCCCCCTCCCCTTGCCCTTGGTCGTCCGGGAGGGCGGATGCCTTTTCCGCGCCGCGACGCCGCGCACGTGGCCGCGACGCCAGACAAATATGTATGCTGTGCGTGATGAGTTTATGCATGCGTGTTTTGTAGCGTGTGCGTGTGCGTGCGCGGGCGCGTGTTGCATTTTTGCGCGTGTCGTTTTTTTGTTAGGGGCGTTTGCTGTGTGCTGTACGGTGCGAGTTGTGTGTGTGTGTGCGTTATGTGTGTGCGTGTGTGTGCGTGCGTGTGTGTGTGTGTGTGTGTGTGTGTGTGTGTGTGTGTGTGTGTGTGTGCGTGTGTGCTGTGCATTGAGTGGTACGTGCGCTGCGTGTGCTGTGGGAAGTGTGGTCTGCGCCGTGTGATATGAGTTCTAGTGTCAATAGTGCGTCGTGTGTTGCGTGATGTGTATGTGTTGCGCTGCGTGTCGTCTCGATGGCGTCGTGCCGATGGCCACGTTGGTGCCGTTTTGAGCCTCTGTGAGGACGTTTTGGTCTGTTGGGCCACGCTCGGGGGTCTGTGGGTGTCGTCTTGGGAGTCTCGGTGGTCTGCGTTGACTCGCTTGGAGGCCCTACGACAGGACCTGCATGACGATGTCAAGTCAGGGAACCTTCCGAAGCGCAATCCATCGAAAACAGAGTACTCCGTACCGAAGCTGTTTGCATTTCTGGCGAAGTGGGGGGTGGGTCGTTGCGAAGTGGAAAGGGCTCTGTAAGTTCCAAAGGGGGTCCCCAAACAAACCTGTCGGTGCATTTGGTGTCGAGAAAGCCCCCCCCTGCGCTGGGTAGTTTTGCGCTGGCTTCGAAACGCGACCACGGAGTGAGAAGAATGGGATTCTCTCCGCCTCCTCCCCTCCTCCCTTCCTCGTCCCTCCTCGTCCCTCCCTCCCTCCCTCCTTCCTGCCCCTGCCTCCTCTTCCCTCTTCCCTCTTCTTCCCTCCCCTCGTCCTTTTCCGCACTCCAGCGGGCCTGGGCAGCGGCGGCGGGCCCTGCCGCGGCGTGGCCCCGGGGGCGGGGCCGCGCCTGGGGGTCCCCCATGGCGGCTTGCGACCCCGAGGCCGAGGGTGGCGCGGAGGACACCGCCTCTCCGCCGCGTCTGCGTGACTTTCCTCGCCCTCTTCCGCCGCAGGGTCGGAGGCGGAGGCGAACGAACCCGTATTTTCGAGGCTGCGGCCTCCACGTGCATGCCCTGATGGGCACAGGCGGGCTCCCCAAGCGGAGCGAGCGCGAACGACGCCAGCCGCGTGACCAGCTCGATGCGTGCCGCCGCACGTGCCAGAGATGCGAAGAAGCGTGCATCCGGCTGGTTTGGCGCGCGGTTGGCGTCGTCCAGTCCTCCTTGCCTGTTCCTCCGCGTTCGCCTCCGCTGTTGTTTCCGCCATATCTGCACTCTTCTACCTTGACCTCGTCCTCGTCCTCGTCCACGGTCGATTCCTCCATCTCGCCATTGAGTCCCCCACATTGTTCACCTCCATTGCGCCGATGGGTCCACCTCCACGTCGGCGTCCTCCTCGCCGTCGGCAGCGTTCGCGCAAGACGATGCGGACGGTGGGGGTAGAAACGGTGGAGACGAAGGAGCAGGATGGCGAGGAGTGGGAGGACGATCAGGACGATGATGAAGATGATGCTGATGATGCCTAAGTTGATGAGGATGCTGCTGCTGATGATGATGACGATGATATTTTTGTGGGTACTGGTGATGACGATGATGATGATGATGATGATGATGCTGATGATGCTATTGATGCTGATTCTGCCGAGGATGATGATGCTGATCATGATGAGGATGATGATGATGATGCTTATTCTGACAATACTACATATTATGCTGACGATGCTGATGGTGGTGCGGATGCTGCTGCTGCTGCTGCTCCTGGTGATGATGACGATGATATTGATGCCTGTACTGATGATGGTGGTGATGATGATGACGATGACCACGACGACGATGATGTGATCTTGCAAATGATGATGATGATGCTGCTGCTGATGATGCTGACGATTATGACGATGATTATGCTGCTGATGATGATGCCGATGACCTTCATGCTGCTGATGACGACGACGGTGACGAAGGTGATGCTGCTGTCGGTGATGATGATGCTGATGATGGTAATGATGATGCTGCTGCTGATGATGATGCTGATGATGATGATGATTATGCTGATGCTGATGAACATGATGATTCTGATGATACTGATGATGATGATGACGATGCTGATTGTGCTGATGATGATGCTGATGCTGATGATTCTGATTATGGTGATGCTGATGATACTGATGATGATGATGATGTTGATGATGATGATGCTGCTGATGATGATGATGATGATGATGGCGATGCTGATGCTGGTGGTGGCGATGATGACAAACAATACTGACAATACTACGAGTAACATGATTGGTCGGAATAAAATCATCAAGACCCATGCAGCTAATTCTAATCTCAATAAGCATACGACTAATAGTTTCAATAATGATAGTCAGACATATCAGACGAAAAACATACGAGTCATTTCAATTAATACTAATGCTTGTAATACTAGTACTTATAATAACAATGATCCTCGTATTATTTTCACTCCTACCATTCAAATGATTAGTATTACGGCTAATCATAATAACACTGGTAATGCTGATACTGTCATTTTCCATACTAACAACAGTAATAGTCTTACTACGCAATCGTATTGATACTACTATTAGTAATGGTACAACTACTATTACTGATAATGATACTAATTACAGTAATCATAATACTAAGAAGAACGCGAATGGCACTGATGATAGTACTAATAGCAATAGCGATAATCAACTTAGGACGGATATGCATCATGATATTAATGAGAACAGTGCTAATGATAAAAACAAAATAAAGACTTCGAAGTGGAGAAGGAGGATGAGGAGGTGGAGGAGCAGGAGGATCAGGAGGAGCAGGAGGAGGAGGAAGATGAGGAGGAGGAGGAGGAGGAGGATGAGTAGGAGGGAGGAGCAGGAGGAGACGGATGAGGATGAGGAGGAGGGGGACGAGGGATGAGGGAGGGAAGGAAGGAGGAGGGAGGAGGGAGGAGAGGGTGGGGGGGTAGGGAGTATGAATAACGCATTCAGCAGGGCGACAGAGTAGGAGTAGGCAACTGCGGAGGACGAGAGGGAGGAGGCACATGGATGAGGGTGATGGTGATCATGACGGTGACGGTGACGATGATGTTGACGAATCTTGTGGTACCGGTGATGGTGATGCTGCTGCTGATGATGATGGTGAGGATGGTAATGGTTTTGGTGGTTGGGATGATGACGACGCTGATGCTGATGCGGCTCAATGCGGATGATGCTGCGGCTGATGGTTCTGCTGATAGTTCTGCTGATGATAATGTTACCGATGATGCTGCTGCTGATGACGATGACGATGACGATGACGATGACGATGACTATGACGATGACGATGATGATGATGATGATGATGGTTCTGATGAAGATGACAATAATGATGCTGCTGCTGCTGCGGATGATGATGACGATTATGCTGACGCTGCTGATGATCATGTTGTTCTTGTTGTTGATCATGGCGATTGTTAGTCTCAGTGCTGTTATTTCCATCATTTTTTATGCTTATCCTTTTATTTTCAGTAGTTGTTAGTACTGTTTTTATCATCGTATTATTCTTATTTTACTTATTGGCATTCGTACTAGTCCCATTGCTGTTATTTCTATGGTGGCTTTTTTTGGGTGTGGTTATTCGTATTCCATTACCACCATTAATATTATCACTATGGCTTTTTTATTATCATTTTGTTGATTGTTAGTTTTTCATTCGTTATGCATTATGACTATTAGTTTCATGATCATCCTTGTCATCATTATCTGCATTCTTACTATTATCAATGCCGTTATCGCTAGCACCTGCCTTATTATTCTTGTATATATATGCTATCATTGTTATCATTATTATTAGTATGTTTCCCCGATGATAGCGATGGAATTTGAGGTGGAAGTGGGCATACTGATGTGGCGATGGTTCTTATAATGATGACGATGATGATGATGATGATGATGATGATGATGATGATGATGGTACTGCTGATAATGATGATGATGATGATGATGATGATGATGATGATGATGATGATGATGATGATGCTGATGATGCTGAAGATGATGCTGCTGACGATGATGATGATGATGATGCTGATGCTGATGCTGATGCTGATGCTGCTGCTGATGATGATGCTGATGATGATGATGATGATGATGATGATGGTGGTGGTGGTGGTGGTGATGATGATGATGATGATGATGATGATGATGATGATGATGATGAGGAGGAGGAGGAGGAGGAGGAGGAGGAGGAGGAGGAGGAGAGGAGGAGGAGGGATGCCCAGCAGGAGGGAGAAAAGGAAAGGAGGGGGCAGGGAGGAGGAGGGGGTGCAAGCGGAGTATGCTGATAAGGGGGGAGAACGAGGTGGGCGAGACGGACGGAGGGACGGAGGAGGGGAGGGGAGGAAGGGCGGACGGAGGAGATGTGGGTTCCCGACGGCGGGATGTGATTAGGATGCCGAGGACCACAATCGCGCCGATCCATCTTCCACATCGTCCTCTTCGTCTTCGTCTTCCGCCGCTACGTCCTCCTCGTCCTCGTCATACTCGTCGTCGTTCGTTCGTCGCCGTCCTCATCTTCTTCCGTTCCCTTCCCATCCTCGTCGCGCCTTCGGCCAGTTGCCTGGTCCAATACCACCTAGCGATGCATATCCAACGACTGTCATGCATCGGACAGGTGGAGCTCCAACCAGAGTCTTATCGGAAAGTGCGTGGACCGTTGCAAACGCGTTGGCCCCATCGCGGCTCGGCTTTAGACGGTCGACCCCGTAGCTGTTGCCATCATGCGATCCAGCAGTGCCACTTGTATTCCATTCATCTCCGCCATGCGGTGGTGGTGGTGGGGGGATCCGTTGCCACTGTGGCTCATTTCTCTGAAGATCCATGGAAGGACCAGCTGGCAGAGTCACTTGCAGATGCAGGCGCCCGACTTTTCGTGCGGGTGTGGGGTTTTCGCGGTTGGGTTGGAAACGGACACTCCGTAGACCACCTGCGTCCACAGGGCTGGTGTGATCCCTCCCTAGATATAACCCTGTGGAAGCGAGTTTGGAATCGCACCTGCAGGCAGAGTCCCAAGACGAGAACCCGCTCTTCCAGAGGAGGGAGGAGGAGGAGGAGACGGAGTAAGAGGATTCTGAGAGGCCAGGTGCAGGGGAGGGCGATGATGAGGCGTTCAGGCGGGTCCCGGTCGAGTTCGCTGGTGGGTTCTCATCCGAGGGGTTTGACCGACAGTCCGAATTTTGTCAAGCTATCTTTGGTACTTTCGGTGGCGTTCGGATGACACGATTGAGCGAGTAGGTCACCAGGCTCTTGATTTCCACAGGTATGGACCCGATCTATGGGAAAGCGGCTTTGTAGAGCGCTTCACCATTACTCATGCATCATCATCACTAGTGGCCTGATCGCGCATCTCCATTTCCTCCTTCTCTTTTCGCCTCCCTTTCTGACTCCTCCTTCTGGGAACCCTGTTCCCCTCATCTTCCCTCCCTCCGTCCCTCCCTGTCTGGCGGCACGCAGCTGCAGTGCCCATATCCAGCCAAAACAGCTTCCTCGTCTCTGCCTCTCTCCCTCTCTCCCTCGCCTGCTCCCCACTGCCCCCTTTTCTTCCCTCCCACATCTCACCTCTCTCTCGGTGGCCCCTCTGCTACCTATCAGGACGAGACCGAGGATGCCGTCGACGGTACGGCCGAGGCGGCACCCGCCCTGTATGTGCATGGGTGAGGCAGGAGAATGAGGCCGAGGGGGATGATAATGACGATGATGCTGATGATGATGATGATGATGATGATGATGATGATGATGATGATGATTGTGATGATGATGATGATGGTGGTGATGATGATGAGGATGATGATCACTATGATCATGATCATGATGGTCTTAGTGATGCTGATGATGCTGATGATGATGGTGGTGGTAATTGTGGTGGTGATGACGGTGGTG